ATTTCGCATGGATTTTGGAAAAGGAACGAGACTGTCAGATGATGAATCTGAAAAAATGTTTCAATTATTTGCTGAACGTTTGTTACAGGTAAAGCTTGTCTCGGGTTAAGGCAAATTCAAATCTGGAAATCTGTTCTTTCGCCTTAGATGCTGGTAACATTCATATAATCTTTAGAAATTCAATATTATCGTAACGTGGTTCCTCTTAATGGTTCCTTAGATGGAACTTGGAGCTGCCAACGGGGCTTCCCTACAAAAGTGGCTAAGGATTATTGGTTCTGTTTCATCGAAGCAACTGAAGATCCTTTCCCTGTCTGAACACTGAGAACGAAAAGAATCGGGTAAAATGAACCACCCCTATCAACGATGAGCTTCTTGAAAGACCTATGATCCATGAAGAATGCTTTCACTTCAACCTCACAGGTTTTACCCCTTGGCTAGCACGTACTGCGAAGATAAAGTGGATCATAAAAGCTTCCCCTGTCTCTATCCCATTAAGACACATAAGAATGATCGCCCACACTGCTCGTGATACAGGGCTCAGAATATGGAAATGGAAGCTGAATTTCGAAAGGCTCCATGAGAAAATACAACACTCTGAAGAGACGCTTTTTTAGAGCGACTTACAGGCTAACTGAAAAAAAGCTTTGTGCTCAAGATTTTTCAGTGATTTTTGCTAAAGGACAGCGAATTTGGTAGAACGCTCAAAGTGAAAAATGTAAGTGCTCATTAAAAAAACCATGAAACCCGGGAAGTATGTGCCTAAGCCTCTCGGGATAGAGATGGGCGCATGCAAGGAGGCCGAATGGAGGCCGACTTACCTTCATAATGATATTGAAGATGTCGAACGAGAGACAGCAAAGGCTCAAAAAGAAGTATAATATCTGAAAGTTCCACTTAATTTGAAGCGTCTCAATTAAATAGCATTATTGAAAGTTTTTCAACTTTTAAAGCTGGAAGTTTGAATTTAATTGACTTGATAAATATATAACGAACCCTCACGTTGCTGTGGAATAACAGACTGCTACTGTAGTATTTAGCGATAAAATAAATCATGAAAGTCGCAGATGAAGTTGAGATAGTCAAACCAATACACATCGAAATCCGATAATACGTTGAAGTTGCAGTAAGGACACCTAGCTGGAAGATGCGAAGATTTCCTGCTGGCACACTAATTCATGGAAAGACTGTCATCGGTAAAGTGAATGCACTGATTTTATTGAAGCATGATTGGTTAAACTCATAGTAATTTCATCATAAATTATTTTTCCCAAGTAGGAGATACGTGCTCTGGAAGGACTAACTGAGTTTCGATGATTGTTTTCTCATTGAAATGAAAATTTTCAGAACTTTCCAATCTTATCAAACCTCGAATACTATTAAGGCTTCATTACTTCAGTTTTCGTTAATAAGGTTATGGTTGCTTTAAACACGTCGTCGATACCTGGTTCAAATCACAATTAAGGAACAACTCATTACTTCACCCAACAACTACGTTAGCTAAAATCTAAGGTTATTTTGAATACTCAAGTTACGAAAATCTGGTGTAAACCTGGTATTGGAGGATTCTAGCATTAGAAGAGAGGTGATCGTGCAAATTGGGGATTTTGGATAAGTAGATTAAGAAAGCTGCCGGCGATAAGCCCACAATCGGTGCAGTGCATTAGTTCCACTGCGGCGGGTGGGGTCGGGATACCTTATGGCTGCTTAACTTTTATATTATTGACGCTAATATTGTAAGTCACTGTTCGCCGCAAAAAAAGAGACTCTTGAAAATTGCTCGAGCGGTTCCAATAAGGCAAAAAGGATGGGAGTTGTTAGCACTCAGTCTACAGTAACCGATACCGGTGATATACGGTAGCACTGCATCTTCGAGTTCAATGTAGGTATACAAACTTTAAGAGAGAATTCTAGCCATGCCCCAAAAAATTGAAATAGCGTAAAATAGAAGCAAAAATAGAAGAAGTATGGAAATTTGGCATAAACATAAAAGAATTGTGTCGGACTGTTATATGTATGTATATGTTATATGTATATAAACGGATGAGCTCAATTGCGAGTTATTAGGATGCATTCATATGAGTCCACCTTCCGGATTAAAAATAAATGGAATTCACGCTCCCGAACTCGGCCAATTCATTTCTTAGGAGGAGCAGATTCTTTATAATGCGACGTATTCCATTTAAGTTTTAAATTTAAAGTATTTCGAAGGCAAATGTACAGCGATTAGCCTCCAAAATCTCATGTCAGAGCAGTTCAGCTATGCTTCGGACTTCTGTTGTCATCATTGCAACACTGGTTAAATATGAGATAGTAAAAAATAAGTTGTGAAAAAGGGTTAGGTTCATACCTCGATGCAGTAGTTCTCAGTTAAATTTTGCTGCAGCGGCTTGAGCGTTGCCATAGACTGAACCACTGAAAAAGTAACCATGAACGATTCCCTAACCAAATATGCTCTGGAAATTCAAAGTAACACGAAAATCTACAAAAGAAGATCATTAACTAGCAGAGTGTGCCACTACTTCAAACATTATCAGTGAAACGACCTTTGGACCCACTTCCCGTATTAAAGCCACCTTCGAAGAGCAATGGCTATGGTCGAGTTAGGTAAAAGGCTAGACAATTTTCAAACTTAAAAGCTGTCAAACAGACCCTGGTAATACTTCATGTCACCACTAAATATATAATAACCTCGGAATACTCCAAAATACAGGGTGTATGTGATAATGATCAGTTTAGCGTACTATTTAAATGGGGATGGACTTCATGCTGAAAACGCTGAAAAACCTTTTTTTCCTGAGAAAAAGGTGTACCTATTTGCTCGAAGAGCATATGGTAACGATATGTCAATATATTATTTAGAAACCTTTAGAACTGATTTACGTAAATGCACAATTAGCGAGGCCTTCACAATGTGTTGGTCGTTGAAGTGATTCCAATTAGGGATAGTAGTTACGAAAACAAATTCGTCACATCAAAGAGTTTCGTCATTGACAGGCAGACAGGCTATCCTCATTGGACGCAATGTGATTGTTCAGGACGATTTTCATAGATGTTGTAGCAGTTAAGCGAAGGGAACTGCTCTTAGGGGCACTTTAATGTCAGAAAGCTTGAAAGTGTCAGTGACTGATCAGTAAGGATGTCCGGCAATCTTTGAGGATTTTTACAGATGAGTTTCCAAAATTCGTTCACTCCTCATCCTCTGCTCTGTTCTCAAAGTCTGCAAGTAATACTATGAATATTGTTACTGTAAGTCCGTTGAGAGCTTCACCATTGGTCG